AGTCAACGGCACACCTGAAGTGAAGACCGGAGTAAGACGACTCTTACTAATATCACTGATGATATTCCTGATTGTAGTGGACTGGAACATGCAGAAGACCCTGCGTGGGAATGAGAAGACAGGAATACGTTGGGTCGATGAGAGGAATGAAGGAGATCTGGATCTAGTTGCGAGTTTTGCAGTCCAAAACAAACGCACAACCCTGAAATAATCGCTTTCATTGTCTGATTACAGACTGTATCAAGTAGACCACGCGTGTCTTGGCCTCAGAATAATACTTGATAACTGCCTAAGAATCACTTTTATGCTTATGCATTTCGAAGGTAAATCCAGTTGAATCGACCCTCTCAATTCATTTGCTTGTCTTCAGCATAATCTATAAGAGCAATAACATTATCATCCAATCATATATATGTATGGACCGTCCCAGTACATATATATATATATATGTATATACATGCATGTATATTATTATTCTGATTCCTTAAGTGTAACACAGAGCTTCAGTAGTACATCGCCATTTCATCCTCTTCTATGAATTCGTTTCTGTTTGGCTACTTTATTCCCCGTGATCTTTTACCCACCTTTCATGTGGTCTCTCTATGTCACCCTAACACGCACACACCCGACTGTCGTTTGTCAATTCGTTTCTACCATAAGGCCTGGTGCATGATGTTACTCAATGGTGGTATGCTCAATGTATGTCCAATCCATTCACTTCTACATACGTTTTAGCCAGAGTTTATTTTCGTGTATTCTTTCCCACAGGCTATGTAATCTTCAGTAGAGAACGAGGTCAAATATTGAAGAAGAGATTCTGCTTCCCTTGAGGAATGCTTTCGGTGACGCGGCGTCACGGCCTTCTTCGAAATCATAAATCAGGATATCAAATGAGTATTAAATTTTGAGCTGCATGTAATGTGTTGTTATCCGCAGATGAACACGGAAATTGCGGTACTTGGAAAGTTGTCTTCGTCCTATGGATTCCAAATAAAACCTCACTGTGCCTTATTTTATCACACATAAGATTGAAAATGGTAGAGTATGGTGAGTGGAATGTATGATAAGGAAACGACAAGTAGCTTGTAAATTTGTACTATGGAGTGTACATTTGAAGTGTGTGAGTATTGTGTTATGAGAATCACGATGGATTATTCCTCATGGAGATGGAATCCTCGCCTACTGAATTTCGCTCCTTATGCATTCCTAAATTTAGTGTTCACTTATGACAGTTGTGTTCGCGTATATTTACCTGCGACCTATACGTGTTCCATACGAGTGGCTCTTAACTGATCCGAACGCGTTGTATATTCATATTCACACTTTAACTGGTCAGACCAGATAGTTTGAACTAGTATCATATATATTGGCAAAGTTGTACTGTGTACTCAGCGTTTATTTACTGCTCCATAGACTAACAGATTAGCAAAGATCAACGTTGAGTATCGTGGGAATTGATACTTTGATTGACGTCATTAAGACGCTGCCATTGTTGTCTAATCCGTAGTTTTCACAAAACTCATTCATTTATGCATTAATAAGGAATGAAAAGCAGTCTGTCCAGAGAAGGAACGTTCCTTTCTCGGCGACTTCATTTTCAAGTAATACGGTCACGTTTTTATCACAGATAAAGGCCTTGAGTGTCACCGAAATGTGCTCAGTCAATATAACACAGAAGATAAGAATTTCGGTTAGCATTCTTCCCTTGTGTTCAGAGTGGAACATATAATTTCAGTAGCACACAATGCATCTTATCCTATCCTCTGATGCTCTTTTACCTGAATCCACAATTACTTCTAAGCTTTTATTCTCTTCTCAAACGATCTCCTCCATGTCACCATCACAGCCCCACCAAACTCCTTTTCTCCTATTCAGCATTCCCGTGGAGGTATGCATGGTGCGCGACGTCACTAAATGGTCTAATCAGCGTTTTTTCAAACCATCTCCTTTTTCTTCTGCATATTTTTGAGTTGAATGTTCATGATTGATTCGTTGTCGTGGTTCCTTGTTGCTTATCCTCCATGAATATCTGGTAGTCTGTGTCCGGTGAAGGCAGCTGTTGATCTAGGTGTGAAATAGTTTGTTGAAAATGCTTCACGTGACGCGCCAATCATACAGAAGGAGGGTATTGGAGTTTAGGATTTTGTTTCTTATGGTGATTGCAGTAGATTTCCATACTGGTTTGAGAGAAACGAAAGTCTGTTTTCCTTCTCTCACGCAGACACAGCCAATGCCATTCGTTCATGTGACACCGAACATGAAGTGTATCCTACGCATACCATGTTGTGAACTCTAAAGAATACTTGATGCATCGCAGATGGAATTCAATTGTCTACAGAGTTTAGTGAAAAGGCGGTCTCGGCTGTTAACTTCAAAGACTTCAACTCACGATTGACTGGTGAGCGTTCACAAATATCACCAGTAGACACAGAACTACCAGCAAACAATCAACTCTGGGAAACAATAGGAAGTTTGAAGGATATCACCTTTGTGATTAATCTTTCACTACCTTGGTAACCCTAACTCTATTTTATTTTATTTTTGTTTTGCCTTTCTGTCAGTATGCCTGTGTGTTTGTCTTGTTACGTAACATTCTATTCAATTTTGACCTTCAAGTTTCTAAATCTACTTAATTGTTTGTCTGTTTAAGTTGTAAATGTTACTCCACTATTCACCCCCACCCTCTTAAACTCTCCACCACAAGATGTGTAAATTTACATTGTTCTCTGACCCTGACCCTGTAATATGCCTCTAACCAATCTGTGTTGTTTTCCAATAGAAATCTGAACTCTTACCCCTCTTATCTAATTCCACTACATATAATTAGTTGTTTTTTGACACCGAATAACCTGTCTGCCCACATCAAATTCTAGAATTATGTTCCTTATGCCTTCTATCTATAACTCAAAGTAATTATGAAAAAGTATGTTCCACAACTTTTTTGAAACGTATAATTTGATTTTGTTTAGGATGTGTGCAGTTGATGAGAATCCACGAAATAAAACGAGCTCGTATTATCCTGCAAACATGTTCATTCTTTCTCTCTTCAAACTAATAAAGGGAACCGGTTGCATGAAACCTTTGGGAATAGCTGAATGCCTAGTACCAAAAGACACGAAGGCGGAACAGTGGAGATTTTGTAAGAAGTCACAGTCTGCAAATATGTAGGTGATGATTCAGAGCGTTCTGGCGATGGAAGTCAAATAACTAGGATCACTTCACGGTTCGCTCCACCATGGTGAATCACCTCAATTAGTGACCTCTGCGGTGGGATACGCAGATTGACAAAATTTGGAAACAATAGGCCAACAATTGGACTCTGTCCAACTGTTTGAATCACTGGTGAACACGTCACGTATCCTGAAGGTGCTGACCTCGCTGGCTGCGTACGTGGTGAATGATGCACACTGCAGAAGTGAGCGAAACTAGGTGGAAACTGGTGTCGTCATCTTCAATGTTTCGCTCAGCAATATCACTGAATGACTTAGAGAAGACGCTGTTTAATTAAAATTACTACTTGAATAATATTTATGCAGCAAGGCTTAGCATCATAACAAATCTGTATGTATCTCATTCAAAGATGATTATATACTATGGAATATCTGCTAATTTCATGTGGAGTGATTTACTGATTTTAATTGATCTACACATACCTGAGTGAATTGAGATATGTACTCTCCCTCAATTTAGAAAAACAAAAATAAATCTTGTTAAGAAATATGAGAAAGAAAAAACAAACTTTCACTGAATCTGGTGTACTGTGACTGATCTCATGAGAGGTGTGTGCACTCTGATTACTAATTGGGATGATGAAATATCTAGAAATATAATTGTAAGTAGTTGTAAAGTACTTTATATACATATATATATATGTATATAAATGTAAGCTGTTGTGAAATATTCTTGCAATTAAACCTCACTTGTGCTTACTATACTGTTAGTGCTCCTCATCTTTGGTAAGTTAACAGGTTGATTTTCTCTTTCATGAATATTATTCATCATTATATCTTGTGCTCACAATACACTACAATCGAATTAATGACTTTGAGACGTAGGTGAATTATGAAATTCATGTTCAGTCTACACAACTTACAATCTATCTTTCTCGGTCTCAGTCGAAAAATACAAAAGTGATAAGGAAAGCCACACTGCTTTTTTGATGTGAATTTCTGCAAAGTGAAGAAGGTATGTGTTTAACGAAGAGTTTCCTGTTGTCAATAATGCCACCCTCAAGCTGTACAAGAATACATTGTCACAGCCGTGAACAGGATGTTTGCTAGGATGTACCCTGCATAGTTGTACTCAGAGGGAGTGCCCAGGGCATTAGAAAGCAAGTCACTTCAGGCCACAGAAGTCACAACAATCCATAAGTCAAATCCCGGGCTGTGCATACAGAAGAGGAGTGTTTCAGTTACTGAAGTTACCATGTAGGCAGTTCATTTAGTCATTTTGACACGTCACTTCTACTTTCTTATTCATCTCATCACCACACCTCTAATCCCTGTGACACTGACTGAGATTAGCTGCGCCTAACCTTGATTTTCTCAATCAGCCCTACTCACTCCTCTCCATTAAGGTACGTCACTCGATTGACTCACTGAATTTGACACAGTCTCTGATGTATCAATGTTTGTGCGTTGTTCAGTAATCTTTAGAATTTCGTGATTGTCATTTAGGCTGTTGGTTGGATGGTTCGTTTTCAGAGTTCCTTGTTGCTAGTCACTTCTGCTCATATGATCTTCAGTATGAAGCTCGTGGAGGTCGAAGCTGTTAATTAAAGTCTGCAAACTGAAACTTGAAAGCTGGAAGCCTTATCTTCCACTGTGAACTCAGATGAATAAATTAACTCAGAAATGAGACAGTTTTGCGTCTCTCATAGTTTGGCGACCTGTTCATTCAGCTATGATTGTCCTAGTTTTATTTCTCATGTGAAACCTGTTTATTGAAATGTCTTTTTTTTTCTACACTAAATAAAACTGTATTTTCCAGCTATCTATACAATGTTGCGTTCACGCAAAGTCAATACTTTCAAAAGTCTTCAAATCCACTGCAATATCTTAACACTATGTATTGTTATCTGTGAGGCGCAAGGCGAAATGTATCCATCTAGATGGAAGAATTCCGAGGCTGATATTGACTACAGACCTGTTAACAGAATGATGATAAATGCACCACTTGATAACGATGGTCTTAACAATAAGAATAAGAATAATAACGACATTCAAAGAAAAGAAACCAGATCAGCAGAATTCAAACCTCCAGAAAGGCCAGCAGAGTTTAAAACAATGAAAGAACTAAACAGTTATTTAAAGAAATTGCGTCATTATTACTTCATTGTTGGTCGTCCGAGGTAAGTCCTCACTGTCCACAGAGTGAATCGTAATGTTTGTTTTCTATCAGCATTATCATGTTTTCTTATTTGAACTGTTTAGTATTTGTCAGAAATACTGGCAATTTTTCTTTTTCGTTTTGACAAATAATTCGTTAGAAATGGTTGTGGTTTTGAAACAGTGACTTAGTCTAATTCGAATGGATTTGATGCGAGAAGAGATTTCTCTCTTGGCGTATCAGCTAAATAGTTTGTATGGATTAAACTCTTAAGGCAACCTATGTCTTAAAACCCTGAAAGACAGCTTCGCGTACACTCCGATGCTTGATAATTACTGAGATTACACAAAATGCTTGTCAGCATGTTCCCAACAGTTTGTATTCGTGTAATCAATCCACACTCTACATGGAGGATGAATTGTAGAATACATAGGAACTAGCTAGCTTGGAAATCACGACAGTCTGCGGTAGGATGTGAGGCACGCAAGCAAACCCCTGGAACTCAGTAATTATCCTGATAAATTAATCAAGAGGCATGTGGGAGGTAATAAGAATAAAGATGATAGAAGCTATGATGGCAGCATGAATGAGAAAAATTCACAGGTGTCGGTAAGATATAGGAGAGGGAGGTAACACACCAGGATTCGTGCCGTACAAAGAAGTGAGCTCTGAAACACTTGAGTAGAATCGCCACAAAGGCAGCAGTAACAGTAACATCGCCAGCTGAAACTCACTTTTCAAGAAACAATGTCATTTGAAGCTCATTAGACGCAATAATTTCGGTTATCTAATACTCTGCAGTGATTGTGAGGTGAAAGTACTAGGCAACGGTTCGAATTTGTCTAGTTACATTTGGTGATGTGAATCGGAAGAGTGAATTGCGCTCGGAAATCCGTCATCCAGGACATATACTACTGTTTCACTCTGTGTGTGATTTTTGCAATAAGAAATTTAACGCAGAATAACAGGCTATCAAAGTGTCACAAACTTGAACACTCACTAGGTATTTAGAACATCAAAATATTGTTAGCCAATTAAGTAAAGATCTTCAGTAGATGATGAAGCTACTTACTAAATTGTCTCCGTCACACACACAAACGCACTCACATACATACGTACATACATACACAACAACAGCAGCATTCAGCATCCCGCAACTCACTGACGTATTTAACAAGTGTGTCAATGATAATTGTTTTCTGAATTCAAGTGAACAGATGATCTTCAGTATATGAATAGCGTAGCTTGATAATGGATGTCAGCCTGAATAGAGTGAAACATTCAAATTTGGAACTTGGATTTCTCCATAGGTTATACAAGTGGAACGTGTGAACATTGTTTATTGACATGTGTCTCTGCTGAGCCTCGCAAGTATGAAAAAAGACCATGCACATTTACATAATCGACTTCTAGGTTGTTAGCAGGTGAAGAGAATCCGTCAGCAGAGTTGCTTTATTCGGCAAAATCTCACTGGACCAAACAGTAATATTTACTGCTTATGTCTCAAGCACAAAATACTGCTCCTGTGATCATGAGCTTGATTAAACAGACTTTGTGTTACTGTCCAATGACCACCAACAGGCTTTCTTCCTCATAATATCTTCTTGGAGAATATTACTGTTGACTACTTATGAAGTTTGGATGTGAATCCACTTAGAACTAATGAAATCGACTTAGATCTCTCGGAGGCCACTACTTGAAATCCTGAGAACTCGTTCGCTTTTCAACGTCAACTAGAAACAATCTGCTTGATCACTGTGTCGTCATCTCCTTTGCTTCATCTCAGTTTCGGTCACAATACTATTTGAGTTCACAGAATAAACCACCCCTATCTGATGTAAAGGCTGCTCCTAACTACATATCAACCCATTGAAAGAGGAATATGAGACCTACATATGTCCTAGGATACAGTTTAGTATAGGGGAATGTAGAGATCAAGTGGGTGCACTAACTAAATGCACTATAGCCGCCACACTCCAAGTACTCGGAAAATAACACTTTACAGAATGTATCTCCTCGCGGTCAGTAGAGGTAAACAAATCGATTAGTGGAGGTGGAGTGGCTGAATCTCAGTTGCGTTTACGAACTACTTTAGTCCAATACAGATCCTACATTCATAATCAGTCATCTGTGTTAGTGCAATCAAGACAATCGCCCACACTTTCTGCAGTGGAATTCAATCAATCTTATCATCTATTTGAATACCACTTGAATCGCATTACTCAATTCACGCACATTTTTTGATACTATTGTTTCTTTTATTTTTGATTACAGATTCGGTCGCTGAAGATGATGCACTAACTGAGAAGAAAAAAACCGAAACCAACTGAATTCCATTTGTCTTCTAATGTGTCGTTAACCTTCTCTGTATCACAAATTCATTCATTCATTCGTGAACACAGTAACACACTGATACAAATTCATACGTGTACACACACACTTGGGTAGATATTAACATTCGAACTGTTACAGAAATATCCGTCTTCTATTTTTATGATAAAAACATGAATTCGAATAAAAATGATGACTGGAAAATGCACAATTGACTTCTGTATTCTTCATGTTCGGCAATATTTGTGACTTTATACAAACATTATTAGGATGAATGACACGGTTTATAAGAAATGTTGAAATACTTCGCGGTAGGTTGTCTTGTGGAGCAGCAACTGATCTGTTTGATTGAATGACACAAATGATAATTGGTTAAGTCTACCCGTTCCTCGCGTTCCGAGTGCAATAAAGGACTTCATTGACGCATCCTCACTATACTCACAAAGCCATCAGTTCCGATAACTTGATCTTGCTCACGTTGCCCTCGAAAATCGAAGTCGTTACTTCGCATTCACATTTCACTTGAGGTTGTGGCGTGTTGTGTCAGTCCACGGTCTGTCCGGAGTTCTTCCTTACTATTATTGTTTCCTTTAATTCCTGAAGAAACATAGGGCTTCAGCCGCACATCTCCATTGCGTTCGGTTCCCAGTAAACGTTTTTACCTGGCTCCACATCTCACATACTTTCATCTCCTCTTCACATGACCTCCTCCTCCTCCATGTCATCCTAGCACTGTCGACCACCTCGCCACTTCTCATTCGGGTTCCATTCGAGTGATGGCCTGGCGTGTGATGTCTCTCACTTGGTGGTTTGCTTTCTCAGAGTATGGCCAATCCACCTCCATTGCTTCCCGCATATTTGTTGCACACTTGGTCCCTGCTGAGTTGGCTCGCTCCCAGAGATCCCTCGCTTTTGCTGATTGTTCTGGCCATCTGATTTGATCGAAGAATTGAGCGAAGGCAGCTGTTGATAAAGGTCTGCAGTTAGTTCGAAGCGGCCTTCTTGACATGGCGCCAAGTCTCTGGTCCGTAAAGTAGCACTGACTTCACATTGAAGGTGTGAATCCCCATCTATTTTTTCCATGCTAAGTGCTGTTGGCCTCCACGCAGACATGAGAGAAATGAAGCACTCGTTATCTGTAGGCCAAACATTCTGCATAAAATGTTCAAATATTCCGGAGTCCCACTTACACGTTCACTTCGAAAAACGGAGAAAGCAAACTGACGGTTTGCTACTAAGCTGAAGTCAGCGATTTACAACAGTCGTCAAAAGTTTACTAACATCAGTTGATAGATATCAGAAAACATTACAGTTGGTTGCATTTACATGCAAAACGTTGCCTTTTCCGCTGGGTGTTTCATATTGTCTTATAAGAACGACTGATGAAGGCTTATGCGTAATTCTGAATGTTTCAGAGGTGCTGTCATCACGTAAACCACACCGGAAAATATCCAGTTTGAAGAGTTTGCTTCAGGATCATTGTACGTTTTCCATTTAGCACATGCAACAGCAGTCAGTTATATTGGAAGAAAATGAATGAGTTTTGCATCGGATGGTATGAAGTGGTGATCACAAGGGAGCTAACTAAACCGACAGTTTGCTACTTCTTATACCTACCTGAGCCTTCAAAATGTTTCACAGTGGATCGGTAGAGATTTTGTAAGAAATCACCGTCTGTGTGGATTTAGAGTGTTCTGCTGATTGCCCTCAACTAACTAGCATCAGTTCACGGTTCGCTCCACGATGGTGAATCACACCATTTAATGACCTCATCACAAACCTGACCAATACGGTCTAGTCAGCACCAAAACTAACACCTCGACATATGATGTCGATAGGGCCATGATATCTCGTCAGGTACGTTAGAAAAAAATCGCCTGTCTTTGCCAGTTTGATGATGTAGCATTTCGTTCAGTGGGCAGGTACTCGAACTTACCTCATTATATTCTGCAGTTAAGGCGTGAGCACATTCTCATGGTCCATTTTAATTGAAACTGTTGGGATCACATGCGGATTTCTGTAAATTCATGATCTTCAAACCTCCTTTTGTTTCCCAGAGGTGATTGTTTGCTGGTAGTTCTGTGTCTACTGGTGATATTTGTGAACGCCCACCAGTCAATCGTGAGTTGAAGTCTTTGAAGTTAACAACCAAGTCCGCTTTCACACAAAACTCTGTAAACAATCTAATTCCATCTATGATGCATCTAGTATTCTTTAGAGTTCACAACATGGTATGCATAGGATACACTTCATATTCAGTGTCACGTAAATGAATGGCATTGGCTGTGTCTGCGTGTGTGTGTGTTTGTATGAAGTCGTTGATGTAGGCTTGAATCTTCCACTCAATGAAAGGCTCTTCATTCATTCCACTGCTTGTTATTTGTTTCTGTGCAAATGTTCACCAGATGGCCTGGCTATCCCTGCGCCTCACCTCACCTCCACTCCTTCATGAAAATACTATTGTCTAACAAACGGAGCAAGATTTGAGAGTGCGTCTTGCGGGACTTGAAGAGCGGATCACATGGTTGGTTGGCGAACCTTCGGTAGACGAAATCTGTTATGATTTTAGTCCTGAAGAAGCGGCTATTTTTGTACCATGAATCCGTCGTAGTTAGTACCTTCCGTCCTCGTGACGTACTCATCATTCATTGAAGCAGTTGCACCGAGTCCAATGTCTGGCTTAATTTTAGCTTAG